GCATGTTCATCCCCTTCTTCACCATTCGCCACCTCTCTTCTTGAATACGTGGCTCGCTCTAGTGGAGAATTCCAGGTGTCAGCGAAGAGGTGGCACATCGGACCAAACGCGAAAATAGCTCTCTCGTGTCTGCTTCTCTTCTCTACCTATCTCTTTCAAGCAGGCTAGTCGCACCCTCATTCTTTTCTCCCTAAATCTCTTAATCACTCTCTCAATATGTAATATATTCACAGACAATTATTTACTTCTTGTAAATAAATTTATTTGTTATGTCCTTTTATTTATGTCCATTTATTGTATTCCCTTTCTTTACGATTATAAATTTATTGATTTTATATTTAATACTCTTCCAATTCTACTACTTGTTTATGTAATTTTTTATTGTAAACTGATACGCGATATATGTAAAAGAATTTACATATAAATCTTTCGTTTACTGTCTGAATATTAACACATATTAATCATGAATGTTATATATAAAATGCGCAGAAGACATGCTTTTAAGTTTATCGCAATTTATTAATATCGCGTCCCATTTCATATTATAACATCTTCGACTGTTTCTTGCAATTCCGCACCTGCCGTATGCTTTTCGCATATAATTATAGAGAACATCGGCTCAGAATTCAGGAAGAGGTCAACAGGTGGGTTTTTAAGTGGTCGTTAGAAACTTCTTACTAATGATAAAGTTGCTAAATTTACTGTAAACATGCATCTGGCCGAGAAAACTTGGTATCTGGTCGAGAAAATCGAAACTGGATACGATTACACTTCGTTTTATCCTTATTAGGTATATTTTGCGATTATGGGAATAAGTTTGAATTGTAAATTAATATGACTATTAAAATAACACGTGAGAATCATTTACATAAGTGGCGATAACCACTTATGCAATAATAAAATTAATTTTACAACCATAAACAATACGATCTATTTTTTAAGATATAAATTGCATTGCTAATACATAATCGACAATCTTCGTTGCATTTTGCATATAACTGGACCGGATATCATTCAGTAAAAAAGTTATATGACCTTTATATAAAATTTCTATGTTAATTTTCCGCTTTTAAAAATAACTCTAATAATATCTATTTAGTACGAAATGCTCTTACTTGCATTAATAACTTGCGTTATTGTAGAAACTTTTCGTCTTTTAATATCGAAAATATAAAGTATTAATATGTTTATATAAAAAGACTAATTGCTCTATTAAAATGCTCGTATTTTTTGACAACGTTGAGTCATCGTCCAAAATTGTCCCGAAAAACTCAGGCCAAAGTTTTTTCGACATTGCCGCAGAGATTCGGGATGACTAAGTCGCTCTATTCTTGTCTGAATAATACTCTTCTATATCCACTGAGAAAGTAGGGTAAGTGGTTATATGAAATATAAACTCCTCGCCAGTCACGTGTTAATTTCACGATAGTTTTCTATTTTCATTTTGATACATCCCGCAGCGACTACAACTTTCTTAATTTAACTTCTTCAATTATCTGTTGTTAAGTCTAAAGCGCAAAGCAAAAAGCTTTTTTTTTAATCTTAGAAATACGTTGTTACAAGAGATAATTGGAATTTTTTTATTAATATCAACGTTAAAATTATTGTAGACTGAAAAAGACCCTGATATATTTCTATTATTACTGTATCTAAGTGTATGCGCGCGTTTTTATTGGGAACGAAACATTTTTGGATACACGGCATATGAGACCGATCGATTCTTGCGATTCTTTCGTTATACTGTTCATAATTAATTACCAGCATCGAGTGTGTGATTGCAGCTAACTCATAGCGCATGTACAAGGATTATAAAGAATCTATCAACGTCGTAAATGCGGATCTAGGTAACGAGTTTATGTTTTATATTTTCCTCTCGGTTTTAATCTGCACGTTGCATTCATGTGAAGCACGAGAATATTAACGTAATGTATAAAATGTACCATATTCTTTGAGATAATCTTCAAGATACGATCTAATTACATTCTGAATGATTACCATTTCATTGACCATGAAATGCTAATGATTTTTCCATTATGCAGTGTTACAAACGATGTATTGTAATTAGCGATGAAATTAAGTATCTCGTAAGTATGTAAATTCGAATCTGCTGTTAAAGATAGTTGCAATCATTAAGCTTTATACTTGTAAATAGATATATAATTATTAACTAACTTCAAAACTTAACTTAAGTCCAATTATTAACTAACTTCAAAACTTAACTTAAGTCCATGGTTAATTGTAAAAGTAGTTAAATGCATCTACTATTAAAAATAAAAACTAAAAGTTTAAAAAATACTGGTTTTTTGTTAAATAAATTAAAATGTGCTTTAAATTCGTTAAATCATGTGAAACAAAAAGAAGACAATGAACCGTAAACATTCTCTGTTGTCACATTATACGGAGATAATTAATTAACACATTACAGTATCAATAGCTAATATTATTAAAGATTAATTATGTTGATAACGACACAAATGCAAATTACATTCAATATTTCATTATTTATATGATGCTATTTTTAAAAAGATATTTTTACTTTTGCCTGTTTTCTTCCTCCGATTTAGTCTGTTTAATCTGCCCAGCTTTCTTATTTTCCTATAAAAAATTCTAAATTAAAATCAATACCTATGATTATTATGTTTAATTAGCGCCAACTCTATTTTCAAAAATATAAAATAAATTTAAGTATGCAAGCTATTTCTGCTGCATTATTGTTAATCTAAAGCTTTGTAGAGCTTTCGAGAATATTCTTGTAGCGCCACCGATTTAGAAAGCTCTCAACCTGAACATCACGGTCTGCTTCAATCTCCATCGATAACTTTGCTTTAGAGAATATCTTTCTTCAAGTATAGTATTTATCATTTGATATCTACCACGATATCACTCTAATGCTTCACGTTGGCTGGCAGCACAAAGTCCTGTTAGAGTTGCTGCAATTAAATATTAAATGGAACTTATATCTTATGAACAATACATTTAATATGTAATCACAATATGACAGAAATGGTTAACGAAGATATCGGCGTAGTGAACAGAATAATGATAGAGGAATAGGCTAATATGTTAGTTATGATTTGCCGATTTACCGAAATTATATTATATTAATGTAGATAGCTTAAATTATTTTTATTTTATATATTTTCACTAAAATCTTCTGTCTCCACCTTTCTTTTGTACAAAATGACAGATCAAATATTTATGTTGTAGTATCCACATGGAGGAAAATGAAGAATGACAGAAATTTTTTAACAAGTACATATCTTTTTCATTTCAATTTCAATAAGAAGACAGAAATTATAACTTCCATAGAAGTGCATCTGCAGTAAACTTGTTAGTCTGTCTTTACGCAACCATATTCTTATGATTGAAATAAACTAATATCAATCAAATAAATTAAAATAATATCAATACAAAGAGTAAGACTTAAAAAGTGTGTGCAACAAGAAAACTATAAATTAAAAGCATTTCTCGAATCCCAAAGGAATTCTCGCAATTAATCTGTTCAAAACTGGAATCTGTCAACATTCTAACGTCAACTGAGAAACTCGGTGAAACTTTTCGAGCTCTTCGTTGATCAAGCTGAGTCTCTCGTCCTTGCCCTTCCACGTTGCTCCAAACCGTAACAAAGTAAATCCTGTTTGGGGATACTCTCTACTCGCTACCAATTTCGCGGAAGGAGTTTCCGCTTTTGTAAAGTTCTGTGGACTCCTCGCGAGAGAACCACATCATCGCGCGGAAGAGAATCTAGTCAGTGGAAACGATCTTGTGGCAATACTGTCCTCATTTCCTGAACAAAGACGGCTATAGTTTCGCGAGTGGTTCGTTGTGTCTTCGGCCAGACTACTTGCTTTCAGAATATTGAGAGAATTCCATGTCTTTTCAAGATGATTAAAGCTATAAGTTTTGGGTCGATCGCGATCATGCCTTGAAAATACACTTTATTTATACGTAACACACTGTTGTGTTTCTGAAGACCTTTAAAAGAGTGAATTTTTGTCCTTCATTCTCCCCGGACGTTGCAACATGTATAGGTATAATTTGGTGATTTATGTTGCGAGGTAAAAAATAATAATAAAATTTAAAAAGAGCTAAGTAATTCGTGAAATAAAAAATAAAGTGTTTTAATCTGCATACAATTTTCTCAATAGTAGAGTTAATTAGTAATATATAATCTAAGACGAGAAATATACTTCGTCAATTAAGATGTAAAATAACGACAGCCTAATTATTTAATAAATAGTTAAGAGAATTCATAAAAATTAGAGATTGAAATGAATCTCTAATAAGAAATAAGAAACAATATTTATAATTTTAAGTTCCCTTAGTTTCGTCAACATTTTGGATTGCACTTAATATTTCAGTTTACTTCCCAGTGATTACTCCTTAACTATAACACTGATACCTTCATTGATCACCATGCCATTATATCGCGATTTCTTTTCTGCTCGAGCGGAAACGCACGTACGAGATTTATCCTTATCCCTGGTCTTTCCTCTCGAAGCCGCGTCTACCTCGCAGCCGGCGAAGCAAAAGACAAGGAAGAGGCAGAAACGAATAGGGAGCAAGACAGAGAAAGTACAAAGCTATTCTTAAAATAGGGCTCGAGTGAGCACCACGAGTGCGACAAGGAGCTGTGACTCCGCGAGTCGGGCAGAAGGGAAGTCGAGAAGAAGGAAGAAGAAGAGACGCAGAGAGCGCGGAGTGAGAACAGAACGAGAAAGGAAGCAAGGGAGAAAGAGAAAGAACGAGAGGGACCGCAGCATGCCTTGCGGGTCGCCGGCTCTTCAGGGTCCGAGCTTCGTTCGAAACGAAGCGCCTTCGCAGCGCTCGCGACTTTCCTCTCCTACGAGGTCGCGGAGGACTGTTTCTCGAGACAATCGATTCTTCGCTCGCGGCCTTGATACCGTGATCTTTCTTCCTCTTTAACGTTCTGTCGCAACCGCGGTGCCGGCGAATCGTGTAACGGTGGTGCTCTCCTGTACTCGATGGTGGTTGGTGAGTCCAGCAGGAAACGCTTCTGGGGACCTGTCTTCTTCTTTTCAAGTTTCACTGCTGTCCTGAGGAGCATAGGATCATGGCATCGTACAGGAGCTATGTAAGTTCGCGGTCCTCGCATATATACTGACTCTTTTATGGAACCGGCTCGATTTAGTGCTCCAAAGATCCTTAATTCGCCAATCACGACTCGGAGAAGAATAACATTGAAATAAGCGAGGAATCGATAACGAAATCTTTCCTGAAGATACTCGCTTCACGTGGAATGTCATTCCCTTCGGTTCGTTCACTTATGTCGTAGATTTGTTGGCACTATTTTATGCAAACGTGCTGAAAGCTACGCAACTTTCTGCATCAGATATCTTTATTGCCCGCGCTCGCAACGCGAAAAGAGAGGTATCCTACGTTAGCGTGGCGTTCATCGAAATGAACATTTGATCGATGAAATCGATATCCTTCTTGACGATCCTTGCGATTCCTGCCGATACTTGATCACGTGCTTTTACCCGAGACGTATCGCATGAGGCTATCGGCTGAAATAGAGAGTTGGGATTTGCATTCGTATACGAACGTATGCAAAAGTAACATTCACATTATCTGCGGTATATAGAATCTAGCCAAGTGCCCAGCGTTTTGCATCATTGAAAATAGTGGCCTATTATTTATAATAATTCTAACTCACTTCATTGACATATCACATCTGTACTTCCACGTGCATTGTCCGCAATAATAAGATTAAAGAAAATAGGCCGTGCTTTAATATATTTACTTGTCTAATATTTCTTTAGAAGTTTATTTAATTGTTATATATTTCGTGAAAATTTTTACCAATATTTATTAAGGATAAAAATAAATTTTTATTACACATTCTGGAATAAGTCTGTCAAGCCCGTATCAGACTACGGGCTTGAGATTGAGATTAGATTGAAATTTGTCCAATCAGAGTAGAGTTTACCAACATCAAGTTCAGCGTATTTTACTCCGGTTGGTGAAATGTTAATCTACTCTCAATCCCAATCCGTGGTCTGGTACAAATTTTAAGACATATGATGATCAATCAACACGCAAGATTGAGATAAGTAAAAATAGATTTGATTATTAAGTCGCTCGCTTTTTTGTTAAAAGTTCTAGTACAATTTAACGCGGCAAAAATATATTCATACATTACGTGTCTATAGTCGATTAACCTTCAATGTCGCGTATCCGTAGCGTGCTTAACGGACGTGCGCAGTGTAAATGAGTGTTTTAAAGCATGCCAAATATTCAAAAGGTACCTTTGCCGTTGGTTCTGGTCGTTGGTCCTTGCGTATAATTTGAGTGCTGGCTCCGCTTTCGTCGCAATTATGCAATGTAAATGAAGTCCATTAACTTTATCGTCCAAAGGTCCAGGTCGCACGCCCCTTTATTCCACCCGCGGACCGAACCGGGTGTTTACGAAGTACCGCTAAGTCGAAAAGCTTTCCAAGTGACAACGATGCAGATCTATTCACCCGTTAAGTAACGACATAACTTGTTGTGCATTGCGGTGCATATAATTTTCTAAGGTGCATTCGCAGGTGTTTCGTATATTCACGTTTGAATTATCGCCAAGCCGCAAGAATATTTTCTTTTTTGTATTATGGTGGTCGTTACTTGGACTGATTTACATTTTCATGCGTTGAGTTTTTCACTTTTAGTTCGAAATTACAGCCGGAGCGGCGCGATGCCGTAATGTTTCCAACGCGAGCATCGTAGATCTCGCAAGCTTGTAATTAAATTCGTTCCTTTATCACGAATGTTTCGTTAGAATTGTGCTTGCTTGACTTTGCCGCATTGCATAGCGGAGAATTCAACGCGTAGGAAATGAAATTCTGCAAAACGGCAGCCAAATAGAAACATAGCAATACTTGTGTTTGCTGATATAACTAATATGACTGAATTATTAGATTTCCGCTTTAATATTCGGCTTTTGCAAAAGTCGTGTAATTAAATGTCATTTTTTAAATGAAATTATATGCATTTGGCATGTAAATAATTCAATATAATTGTTAATGTATGTGAATAAAGTATTAATATCTATATATACATATATTAATTACGTAAATTATATGCTGTATAAATATATCATATATAATAAAAGAGAAATTATGTAGTTTAAAATCGATAATTATTCAAATAAAATTATCAATGCTTTTTTTTACATTATCACATAAATAACAAATTTAACTCTTTTGTTTCAAACGTAATATTTCCAAAATTATAGTTTGTAACTTTTATATAAATTGAAATAAATATGTTTTTATTTAATTTGAAAATAAAAGTAGCTTAAAGCTCGATATATTAAAGGTATAATGACAGAATTTTTATATTCGTGAATTAAAATATTACCTCCCTTATATTACAATTCAAAAGCATGTATATTTAAATTAATGTTATATCTCGAAACTAAGCGATTTATGTTCCCTCACTACAATGAAAAACGTGTCGTAACTAAAAAAAACGGAAGATCCCACGCATTCAGTAGATATAGTCCGGCTCGTGTCGGACTACAGATGCGTAAAAGATCGATCACGACTCGTCGGAAAGCGCAGCATGGCTGAGACGTGGCTCGATCGTTTATCGAAGGAGGTCGAAGCGATCGTTAGCGACGTCCAAATACGAATCCCGGTTGCATGCCTCCCAGAAACATTTTCGTGCATCGGAGCACCGCGGGTCGCCCCGGCGCGGCGACGTGGCGCGGCTAGCAAAATTAGCCGGGGTCTTTCCCAGACGATGTCTGCCCGCGCCGCGCGTGCATATTCGTGTGTAAAGCTTTCTTCCACCTCAAATATACGTTCGCGATCGACGCTGGGGGCGACATGATGTATCGGGTGTCGAATTTCAAAGCGGCTCATGAGACCCAGCTATACCATGTTGCGTAGGGGATTTGTCTTACGAGCTATTCGCGCCAAGTTTGATACAGGACACGTCGTGCACAGGCACAACTCCCTCCTGAAAGCTCCTGAGAGATCCCAAGAGCCTTCATGAGGTTTGCCGTCGTCGACCAATAAGGATCTTTGTACGCGACCTGGATGCAAGAGCACACTCTTGGGCCAGAGAGCCGTCTTCCTCTCGAGTTCTTTCAGGTGACTGGAGGCTTGGGGTAACGCGCGAACGGAAGTATGCGTCGATGTATCACGTGAGACAGGAAATTTGTCGTAGACAATTCCTGTCTCTCCCAGGTTCGAATTACTTCTATTTTCAGAAACGAATATTGTACAGTAGTAGATTAGCTTAATATCTGTTCAGCCTTTTCAAACAAGAAAGTTTTGCAAAACAAATTTAAATAAAACGATTCACGTGTCTTGAATAAAGAAACGAATAAACTGCGTAATAAAATGTATCGAGAGAATTAAAGAACAAATTAAATTTGATTCTTTTCAAATTGATCAATTGCAGTCCTCGTTTGCTTATTGTTTTATTCACTTTGCATCAAACATCCTTCAAATAAAGTTTTTAATTACTTATAAAAATATACAGTCTAATTATCTACGTGGAATCCTATGAAGATAATTTAAAGTAAGCTGACGGCAAACAGAAATTCCGAGAATGCAATGAAATTCTGTATTGACAATAAAATTTAATATTATAACATCAATTTTGTATATCGGACCTAAATTATAATCGTTAAAAATTTTCTTTTACGACGCAAGTGGCGTCATACTGACCTGTAGTAAGTTTCTATATGTATTCAGTGATCATTTTCAGTATTCCTCATGTCACTTTCTTCATATCTTTTTTCATTTATCTACAAACACAAGTAATATGCTCGCTCGTGATAAATGAAGACTTTCTTCCTGTTGATTCATCATCCAAACATCTTTTTTCCGTCTTTTCGCGAAAACCATGTAAAATAATGATATCTCCATCTAAGTGGATGACATGAGGCACATTTGATGATATTTGATGAATAAATTTAGGTTCAGAACGTGTTGGCGCTTTTAGACGAAATATTAGATAGTAGGCCCCGAGTTTACTTATAAATAACTAATTGATTATCAAGAAAAATAAAAGAAATGATTTTTAATATTTAAAATAACAAAAATTATTTTTAATATTTTTTTATTTACTTCTTTCCCCCCTAAAAAATAGAATTTTGCATAAGAGAAGGTGCTTGCACAACTCGGTACTTTGCATTATCAATAACAGGGAGAAACAGTTATTAAACGTGGCGAAAATGGCACAAAATACTTTGCCTGACGGTGAGAAATATATAACTCGTTATTAATAACATACCTAGTTTAATAATTTAACTTGGGCACGCAGCGCGCTCATGGATTGAAATGCTTCGAACACATTTAAATGTTTGAACGAAGATGCAGGGCAGAACAGTCTGCTTAGACTGAATGGAGAAAGGGATTTAACGGCTTCTTTGAATATTCCAGGCGGAGCAATAGCGGCTGCAAACGATGGCGTGAATGCTTTTAATCGAGCGTACCATTCCTCTTTCTTTTATATCCGCTTTGTGCTCCTTTTGCCTTTGCGTCGCAATAGAGCTCGATATTTATTGCTACGCAACTTGAAGCCCCTCGAAAAAAAGGAGATGAATTCTCGCTACGCACCAGATTTAGCTTTCATGACGTTCCGTTAAGAGATATTTAAAATTACTATTGCTTGTGTGCGTAAACAAAATTGTACAATCGCTTTAAAAACTTATGGAAAATAAATGAAGAGATAATCTAGAAATCTTCTAAACTTTTTAGAGAAACATTTAAATTAAAATTTCAAGTGATTTTATTAAACTATTATGTATGCAAATAATGTTACTGTTTTATAAAGTGTTGCAAATAGCTTAAATTATAAATTAAACAAACTAATAAAGAACTGCAAATACAAGCAAAGTGTAAATAGTACTTAAATGGTGGTGAGAATCGTGTACAGTGATCGAATTAAAAAGTAAAATTCTTTAATTATTACTCAACTAATTACTTTGTAATGGTTTGTAACATTAATGTCATTAATTGCTTTAGTGTTATAATGTTGCAAACTGACGAGATAAACTATTATTGTAGCTTCAGTAGAAAAAGGTGAAAAAATTTGGAATTAAAATGGAAAGAGTAATAATTTAATTTCTTCTTCACA